TTGTGGTAGAAAAATGGACAAACGTGCTTTTCTCCGTACACTACGTCAAAATTTATATCCTGTTCCGCCATGCGATGTTGCCAAAGTATTCTCCAGGCGTAATAAAGCTTAAAATACACATTACCATGTAGATCTGATTGCTTCAGAAACTCAATAGAAAAAGAGTGATGCTTTATACTTACGTCTGATTTCTTTTCTTTTTGCCCATTTCTTTTTTAATTTCACTTTTAAGTTTGTTGACTTGCTTTTCACGCATTTATGATCAGATAATCACTAAGAGTTAATCAGAAAACGTTATTTATACGAGTGCCCGAGCAAATATGCCTGCAAAATTTCTCATTCAGTTTGTTACAAAACGGAGTTTTTCTTTGAGAATAATCGTTTTTACTCGACTTCCTACACACCCTCAGACATCACCTCCATCTGCTTATAGAAAATAAAGTTTGAATGAGATGGAAGTTTTTAGCAAACTTTTATTCTTGCCCAAATTAACAGTACAATTTTGCCTTTAATTACCAATAGTTCATATTGATGTGTTATTGCTCATTTTCCGGCTATAACTATAATCAATCCTGCCGGAACTCGTTAAAATCAATAATGGAGTAAAAATACTCAACAAACAATGACGCAGAGGAAAGAAACGACCAAAAAATACATTGTCAGTAACAATACTTTTACTTAATACTATCCTATTTTTGATTCATATTGTCCTCAAATGCAAACTGATTGTACCTGAAGCAACTGACTAAAAGATGATACTTTCTCATTAAGTTAATGCCTCAATAGATTTCTGCAAAAATGTATTAGAACCCCATTTCCAATCACCTAAGATTTTCACAAAAAATGTCCTTACTCCGTATAGGTAGATGCTTTTATTGATATATTTATTGGAGCAAATTTGAAATAAAAAAATTGTACATTTTATCAATAAATCGACTTTCCACCTTTCCTTTCACGCCAGCGGTTACACGAAGTATTTGTTTAGTTGTAAGGCCCGGTTTTATTGCTCAAATGGCACCAGATAACATGATTTACGATGCCCCAAACCAACAAATACAGATAAAGAGCTGACTTAAGAAATCGGAAATTTTTTAAAGTAAAATTCGTGTTTGCCTATAGGTGCGACCGACGACATACGTAACCTTAATGAGATTATATTCCAATCAAAAAGTTCACGAAACAATTGGGCTTGTGAAAGTTCAACTTCTCCTTTAACGTAGTGCGTTCTATGCTACAACCTGAATATTTGCTCAAATATTCCAGAGGCATATTTTGCCTCCAAGTTTTAATGCTCCAAAGTTCAGAGAATTCACAAAATGCAAGATGGGAAGCACAAAAATACACTAGTGGAAAAGGTAAAGTTGTGTAATTTCAAGCAAATCGTAGTCCGTCGATATTTTTCCTGTTACAATTTTCCCTTATTTTTGATCTATTTCCCTTTCGCCATTTTTTTGCGGTAAATTCCAGTTTTGCTAGAGTTTCTTTTGGTTTCAGTTAAAGATTTCAGACAAATGCTGAATTGATAAGAACGACTTGAAGAGACTTCCTGAGGATATTTGAAAGGTTTGGCAACAACTAATTTAAAATTATATATAATGTGGCTCACACTACATATTTTTTTCATCTGCTGATTTAAATAATGGTTGTTTGTATGTTGAATAATCTAAAGAATTTAACTCTCATTTAAAACAGTTTTCGAATCTTTGTATATTGGCAATAGTAGTCAAACCGCTAATCTGCAATCTTCAGCAAATTAAAGGTTTTTGCATCTACCATGCACGAGATTTGAGCTGTTATACCCTGTATAAAGCAGGTCAATTGGTTGAATTCATTTAATGCAAAATTAAGCTGAGCTAGTCATAAAATTAACTCAACCAATCTCAACTTTAGATGAGTTCGTGTTCACAAGAGTTCGAGGGACTTAGATATTGTACAGAGGCTTTTTTGAACTTGTATTTTATATGACTAAAAATTAAGACATATAAAATAAACAGCAAACCGTTTAGAATTATTTCCAACCGTATACCTAAAAGGAAACTAGTGGAAAACGTACAAATAATAGAGCAACTAGAGTTAAACCAAACAAACTTCCCAAGAACGCTGATGTACAAAAACGTAAAAGAAAGCAGATTTGGTGGGAAGACTATTAGTAGGTATAAACCATATTCATTAGGATTCGTTTTTGATATTTAACGTTTGAGAAGTTTGTCAGGAAATCCCACCTGTTCGTACCCAATTAACAAACAGTTTGTAGTAACAATAAAAAATAAATTCCATTTTTTTCGCAACAGAAGAAAACAATTTTTTCCATTTTAAATGTTTCTTGCCATCGGACCGCCGCTGTATTTTGCAGGCAATTTGTTGAGAAAGCGCTTGATGCAATTTAAAGAGCACTTTCCCGGAATAAATTCCATCATGTATTCAATATTATAGACTATAGAGGTTGGACTTAAATTCTGAAATCGTTTTAAAACCCTTAACCGCTGGTTTTAATCGAAAGCTTAGCCTTTGAAGTTGTCGACTGAATTTCCGAGCGGCTTTGCGACGGCTGCGACCCGGATTTCGAGGGATTTCAGATAAACTTGGTTTTGCTATCCTGACCCCTGTTGGCTGCTTCTTCCACCATATTTCGGAAACAGCCATAAAAGTTTTAATCATTTCAGTCAATTAGGCTTTTACGACAGTACAGCAACGGGCGCGCAACGCAATTTGTACAACCAAATCGGCAAAACAGACACTAGCAATTTCACTGGTTTACAAATTAAATTTTGTAAACTTTATCAACATCCGTTTCAGACATTGGAAAAACAATATTCAAATTTGAAGAGGAATTATTGCTGCATTAGTACAGAACATATAAAACTTGCCTGTTCATAAACGATTGTAAAAAGAACGTCAATATTTGCATGATTAACTTTGAGAGTTTAAAAACAGTTAAAGTTGGGTTTTTTTTGGACTGCTGGAAATTCACAAAGAGCTGTAGGTGTTTCCCTAGTCAACAGTTGTTTCTACAGTACGACACAGCCTTCATTCTAAATTCACAGAAGAACTTCAAGTCTCGGAACTGAGTAGACCAAAAGCCAATGACTTTTTTAAAAATCCTTTGCATATCCGAAGCTCCTGATGAAGGAATTATTGCAGTTTGTTAATGGAAAGAAACGGTTCGTTCAGAAAAGAGGACCTTTTCCAGTTACTGCGATCACTTTGACTTTGCTTGAGCCAATCAGCAAATTGCAAAATCAGCTTTCAAATTGTGTGTACGATTGTCCTCTTTCGCTACACCTTTTTACTTTTGGTCGGAAATAAGCAAATCAGGTTTTACAAAGAATTTATTTTACTTCATTTTAGGAAAAAATCGACTATCAAATGATTTTAACTTATTAAAGTAGATGAGATCGATAATTATGGAGCAATCTCAATAATCTTATTTAATAGCAGTGCTAGAAATTCAATGGAGACTTTATTTTATAAGTGCACATACCTAAGTGGAGAAATCATACCGAAAATACTGTTAAAGTTTTGGGTTTTTAATAAACTTTTCCCCACAACTTTTAAAGTTTTTGACATAATTTTCTTATTCTTATTTTAAATGAATAATTAAAACAGTTTACAAACGTACATGCTCGTGATTTTTTGGAGGCGCAGCCCAATCAAAAAAATATATATTCGGCAACATTTTTGTCTTTTATATTTTTATTGCAGCCGTAATCGTTATTAATTCATTTGAAAAATCCTCCAAAAGAACATGTTTTTTTAAAAGTAATTTAAAGTGTATTTTATTATTATACTTTTAGTGAAATTGAAATCTGAAAACTAAAAGTTTCCAGATTCAATGGAAAATCCAAATATTTGCAACTAAACGAGTGGCGCATCGGAAACATTCGTGGATGGTAAAACGGGTCTGATCTCTGGAAAAATACCACTCTGTATATTTTCACATTCTATGCATTATTCCAAAACTTGTGGACCGGCTTAAATAATCTCAGATAAGGAGTTCAAAACAAAAACTTAGAAAAGTCTATAAAAAATTTAAAACTTTAGCACCTGATAGTATCTCAAATGTCAAGCTTTTGCCAGATTTGTTTCCATAACAAACTTAGTCTATATTCATATTCTGTTAAAATTTTGTCATCTTAACGTTTCTCAGCATTTCGAAAATGTTTATTGCTTTTCCTAGTCGCTCTGTTTCTCGACTACTTAATGCATCTACTGCTCAAAATCAACTCTTGTTGGCGTTCCCTTGGGATTGAAGCGCAAATTTCTAATGGTGTTTTGAAAATGAACAAAATCGTTTGAAAGACAGTCATTAAACCCAACTCAAAGAAAACAAGCTTAACTTCTAATAATTGTTAGTTTTTAGATAGAAAATTAATTAATGAAATGAATATCGGAAGCTGGAGCTGACAAGAGGTGTTTTAGAGGATATTTCTCATCAATAATTAAAGTAAATGTCGGATAAAATAAGCCAGTCGTTGCTTGCAAATTAAAGTTGAATTTTTATATAAAAAATATGCCTTAAACGCTGACAATAAGTACCTAATCGTTCATGGATACTTCCACTTACAGAACATGGAGAAATTCTGGAGTCTACAAGAAAAAACCGGTTCAATAAAATATTGCATAACATCTTAACATCTGATCTACCTACTCAGCTTTAAAAAAAATGTCATCTTCCAAATTAATTAAATTTTGGCCTGGCGTTGGCGTTTTTGCATGTTCCGACGGAAACGGATTTCCCACAGGAAAGTTATTTGAGATTGAAAATACGGAAGTTTATATTTATTTCTGGCACCTTTGGGCTACAATTAGAACAGGAATTTAAAAAAAAAGTTTTATGCAGGTACTTTCAACTGAACAAAGCACACTTGGAGGTTTTTATCGTTTGCTCTAAACATCGTCTTCCTATGACTAAATTTTGGTTGCAAAAATGAAATTTGGCTTTTCTCTTCGACTGAATACAGCTGAGATTTTCTACTAGTAGAATTATGAAAAATACTTACGAAGTTAAGAAGAAAATTCACTAAAACCCACAGTATGTTCGTATCACCAACAAATCACTGCCAATTAGCGGTCACTGTCCTTTCCAGCAAAAGAGCGTCCTTCTCTTAAAAAAAAACTGTTAGCAAAACAACCCGTGCGCTTTTCTTAAAACCTTACAAATCACTAACTGGGCATCAGGCGGTCTAACACGAAATCCTATAAAAGTATTAAAAAGTCTTAAACGCTTAGGTATCGGGTTAGGATTTGATACTGCAAAGTCCCTCTAATCTAGGCCACTTCCCAACGCGATTTAAACATAAGTCGCTTCACTCTATATATCATAGCTAACGGTGAAACCTTTGCCTCCTCAGTCCAAAGCCCCAAACTACCATCGTCTCCCTCTCTCTTATACCGAGTCGCATATATTGATCCTTATCGGAAGCGCAGGAGAATTTCAAGATGCAAGGTAACGCCTCCTATGGTTTTTAATGGGCATGCGTGGACATGTCATGTTTTGAATCGATTGTCCTCGTTTAACATCCAGCCGACCGCATGCTGTTCTCTCCGTTGGCTTATTGATGGGGAGGAGCTGGTAAGGCGTTAAGTCAAGGGAATCTGTAAACGGGGCCTTCCGTATTGTATTGATACAGGATTAACGTTTAGTTTTGTTTACTTTCTTTAGATAGTTTCTTAATTTTGAAAGGTTCGATATTTGAGGAATGGCGCAAGTGACATAACGTCTCTATTATCCTTTTCGGTGACTGATTACAGTAATCAATTTCAATAATGTTCATAAAAGTCAGGTTTTCACGAAATTTACTTTGTTGCAAATTATTAATTAAATTTTAAAAAAATTGTTAGTTTAATTTGTTATTGTTTTCCAACTCTAATTAGTGGCAAAAAAACTAAAATTAATCCACCCCTTGCAGATATACCTAAGAACTGATTTTAACTTGCAATTTGCAGTTTCGAATAAAAAACCCGCGCTACATTTTAAGCGCAAAACACACAGAAGAATGTTGATAACAGTTTAAACTAATGAAAGATAATAAATTATTTGAGTTGTCGACAAAAGTTTTTGACTGCGCCTCTCCAGCAAAAATTGGCCTTAAAAATATATTAACTTTATTTTCTTTTAAAACCACAGAAAATGCAGACGGAAACATGCTACTAACATTGAAATGGAAAATGTTATACAATAAATACAATTTAAGCTGAATTTCTCAGGTGATACATATATTACAAAATAGTTCTATTTTGTGTATCTACAATCTAATAAGATTTAAAAATACAAAACTTAACTAAAATGATAGTTTGATAAAAGTAAAGTTCAAAAGGAAAATTAACGTTGTTATCAATTCCTCGAAAGGTCTGACAGTGATTTGCAGTATAACTGGAAAGATTACGTTGTCGCTTCTGTTGAAATGGAAACTAGTCAAAAGTTACTTTTAATTTGTATGTATCAATCAATGTAAATAAATTCAAATATACGATGAGTACCTACAATTTGACTAAAATCTGTTGGCACGGAGACACAGTAAAAAGTTTGCATATTGCTTTAAACAGTCGCGATTGACTCAAATTTCAGTTTTGAAGTGGCAAAAGCTTTCAAAATTCCAAGTAGCTACCCTTTTTGACAGTGCCGCAAAAATTCTCGTTCTTTTTCTATTACTTGTCCACAGAGCGCGATGAAAAATTGTTAAAATTGGCTGAATTTTAGAAGATTATTAAAATTATTGATTTCATTTCTGGGCTAGTGTTGGCAATTTCTGTGAATTTTTCAAAGTTATCAATTCAACCTCGCGGTACATTTTCCCTAAAATGCTGACGCAATATTGTAAGGACGATCAACGGTTCATTTTGTTCATATTTTTGCCACTATTTCTTAGATCTTATAAATATGTTCATTTTTCCACTTAACTGCTGTAACAATAATATCTGATTCAACAAAAAGCTTTTGAAATCACCGGAGATATCGCTCAAGCTGGCAACCATGAAACATGAAGCAAAATCTTTTGAACCAAGGTCGGTTCGAATGACGTCACTGCCACATAACTTGGAAGAGACTATACTACATATAGACATTTACAATATTTTTTTTTATTTTCATGCTTTTCATGCTATGTTTCCTTGCTTTATTAGGTATTATTATTCCATACCAATTTCTACGCCACAGATTGCCCTGTAATAACCACCTCTCATGACACTGCATGACGTTTGTGTCAAGTTCAGTTCGAACCTGTTTGACTTTTTACAAATCAGTCCTTGTCAACCTGTGCGCATATGAAAATTATTCCTTATGACACTTAATAAAAATTCAATCTAAAAAGCCATTACAAAATCAACTTGCCCAAGACAAACAGTTAAATTGTCATATTAAACATGGGACATTCTATAGTAATACTGACGCGAAAAGGAAAATGAAATGGAACGGTAGAAAATCATGTAGGGCAAAATGACGAAAAATCAATTTGACGTTAAAGGAAAAAAGGACACAAAGTGCCATCGTCAGCATCAAAATCACCACGGAATAAGAAACAGTAGAGCATCAAAATAAAATAGTGAACAAGTGCAGTACGGGAGTTATCGTCAGGCCTGTCAATCAAAGCTAACATTATCAGGCCGACTCCGCCTACCGACTTTCGTCGGCCAATTGAAGAAGGGAAGGGATAGGCGTCCAATATGGCGCCGCACGACGTCCGCCGACGCTACTCGAGCGGTTCGCATTCATCGACCGCCGCCTGAAAGTTGGTCATGAAACAAAGGGTTTTTATTATTCAAATTCTTTGTGATTTTTTCTTTTTTGCTAATTTGTCCCATATTCTATATCACTGAGTGATTAATGTGTAGAGTGAATGAGTGCTGTCTTTTTGGTGAACGACTCTCATTGTGAATGGAGGTAAAAGTCGATTTTTCACGTCACATTCCCTTGCAAGAGATTTTCATAATTCATAGCTAACGATATTCAATTGAATTTCCCGATTTTACAAATTTACTAATAAGTTTTTCACCTGAAATGATGTGTGAGAGAGAGAATGAGTATTTGGTTTATAGAATTAAGTTAAAAATACTCTAAAATAAGAATGAGCGAATGAATAAGAGGCTTTTTATTTTATATTAAATGCGTTATCAAGTCAGTTCGATTGCCTACTTATCTTTGCCTGCTAATCTACCAATGGCTGAATTGAGAGTAAAAGATAATCACATCAATTCAATATTTTCTGCTATTAGGTATGATTTTATACAATCCAAATCTTGAGTATTAGTAAAAAATAGAAATAACACTTTGAGTTAAAAATGATGAAAACATGTACAATAGTGCATGCGTAAAAAAGTAAAATTAAACAAATTAGATGAGAAACATCAGTAGTATGAAGAGTAACTTTAGTTGTTCGGAAAAATGTTCGGACATACCAACAATACGAAAAAAAAAGAAAAGTATTGAGGAAATCAAATACTTTTCTTATAATTCTTATATTCTTATAAACAGATAACCTGATGGTTAAAACATCTATTATCGCGGTGTCGTTTCTTATTTTATTGAATAATTTCCTGATAAACTGTTGATCATTTCATAGTGAAGCAGTAACATTAAGGGGTTTCTAATAAGGAACATATTTAGGTCTGAAATTTACGACCCTCAAAATGTTCTTTTTAATTGCGAATAGTCACAGGTTTTAATTTGGCATAATTTTCCGAAAATGTTCTCAAGATTAAAAAAATAGCGCTAATTCCTTTTCATTGCTTTACTTAATTTTGTAATCGGTGTTTTTCGAGTGTTTTAGAAAGTTTAAAATAACCTACATGTTTTTTTTCTTACTTATTAAGTACCATAATTACTTATGTCTATGTATTTCATTCCTAGATCTTCTAAGTTGACGCCTACTTTTCATTCCTGCGCTGCTTTTCATTTCTTCTGTTTTTTTTTGTTCACCTGTGTGTCGTCTTCAGTCGGTCCGTACACTAATTTTTATTGACCAAACTATTTCCGTCCATAGTGGTGGATTATAATATTTCTTCGTCCGTTTTAAAAATTAGATTGATTGGAACTTATTTTCCTTTCAGTTTTTGTTATATCTAAGATATCTTAATTACTTTCTCCAGCGTCTTCCTCTAAGTCCTGTTCTTCCCTTTAAAGCATTGAACGTTCCCGAAGAAGAAGAACGTTTGGTTATTTGTTTTGTGTCTGTTTATCCGTTTTTTTTTCGATGTGTGTCTGCATTCCTAAGTTTCCGTTAAAACGGTTTCTTATTAAAATGTTTTGCCGTTTGCCTTCAGTTTATTGATCTCGTTAGTGAAAATAACATATATTGCCTTCAGACGCTTCCAGTTTAAGGTAGGTCACACTTTCAAAAGTATTTTAAAAAGTGGCTAAAAAAACTCGACTTTTGATCCACTGGGCGCTATTGCCTATCCATCGTAAATAGAAATTCACGATTAATAACGGTCTTAAACAAAAAGTGCAACCTTCGCCCATTAAGATTTATTGCAGTCATTTACGATGTTCCATTTCACAAGCAAACCTATTCATCTGTTAGCTTTCTGATTGGTCCCCAAAAAATAACTAATATCGCACAAACGATTGCAGACTTAGATGTAGGTATTAATTTGCCATTGGCCCATCTGTCGAATATGTAAACTTTCACTTAATGGACCATCAGGTTATGGTTTTAAACTCCCTCGTTAAAACATTTAAATTTATGCTGCATGTTTCAGTAGCAACTTTATTGTACTTTACAAAGTGCATAATTAACTGGAACATTGATGGAGTAGTTATATTTTCATTACCCTCTGCTGCCTCTACGGTATTTATTATGTAACAGTCCATAAGTTTTTCTTTCCAAGGAGAAAGAATGTGTTATTTAATGTCTTTGAACATCTGAGCAGACAAAATGATTTTAGTATTTTAGAAACTCAACTAAATCATCAAAACACAAAATTTTTAACAAGATTACAATTAATAATTGCTATTGAAGACTTGCATTTATTATCATTAATCTTAAATTTCTTAGTATTTAGTCAATGCAATTATAGTCAGCAGTCTGATTTTTACTTTATCTGTAAACAAATGTATTATTTTTTTACAGTTTGGTTTGTTGTTGTGCAGAAAAATGCAATAAATGTTCTTTTAATCTGGTGAAAGTTTAATACCTCAAAATTGTTATGAAATGAGAGACATTATCAAAAGGCATAATAATCAAAATTACAGCAAATTACATTAAAGCTGAAAATGAGCAAAAAGCAATTTAATTTTGAAAAAATCAAATGTAGTTTCTGGGCTTACAACTTAGAATTACAATCTTTCAATTTGTTCAGAAAAAAATATACAGTTATTGGAAATGAAAAAAATTGCCGACATAACAAGCCGAAGAAAGAAAAACAAACCTAGAAGTGAACACATTGAAA